AATATTTAAAATTGTTATGTCTTCTTATTGAATTGTTCCCTTTACAATTATACGGTGACCATCTTTATCTGTGTTTATTTTTGTTGCTTTGAAGTCTGTGTTATCTGATATGAGAATGGCTACACCAGCTTTCTTTTGATTTGCATTTACATGGAATATTGTTTTCCATTCCTTCATCTTAAGTCTGAATTTGTCCTTGTGAGTTAAGACACCTTTCCTGGAGACAGCAGACACTTGGCTTGTATTTTTGTATTCATTTAGCCAGTCTGTGTCTCTTGAAAGAGTAGTTCAGTTTATTCACATTTATTGAGAGAATTGATAAGTGGGTGGATTTCTGTTCATCCTGTTGAAGAGAACTTCACTGCTTTGTTTTACTGCTTGAGCCACTGTATAACCAATTATTTTATCTGTGGTTATTTTAAACTGATGGCAACTTAACTCTGCTCACAAAAAAGTTTTTTTTTAAAGCTTAAAAAATCTCCTCTACACTTTAACTTCATCCCCCCACTTTTTTACTTTTTGTTGTTTTCATTTATATCTTTTTATACTATCTATCTCTTAAAAAGTAGAAAGTTGTTATTTTTGATATCTTTGTCTTTTGGTCTTCCCACTTATGATATGAGTAGTTTATACACCACAATTACAGTGATAGAACACATTCTGTATTTGTCTGTGTATTTAATATTACCTGTGAGTTTCATACCTTCAGATGATTTTATTGTTCATTAATGTTGTTTCTTTCAGATTGAAGAGCTTCTTTTAGCATTTCTTTTTTTTTCCTTGAGACAGAGTCTCACTATGTCACCATGTGCCATGGTGTCACAGCTCACAGCAACCTCAAACTCTTGGGATTACGCTATTCTCTTGCCTCAGCCTCCCTAGTAGTTGGGACTACAGGTGCCTGCCACAGTGCTTGGCTATTTTTAGAGATGGGATATTGTTCTTCTGAGCTCAGGCAATCTACCCACCTTGGCCTCCCAGAGTGCTAGAATTACAGGCATGAGCCACTGCACCCAGCCTTCTATGACCTTCTTATACCTGAATGTTGATATCTTTTTCTAAGTTTGGAAAGTTATCTGTTATTATTTCTTAGAATAAATACTCTGCCCCAATCTCTCTCTCTACCTCTTAGATTTGCCCTTTTGAGGCTATCTAGTTCTTGTAGGCATTCTTAATTCTTTTCTATTCAGTCTCTTAGTGAAATTTATCTGATAGCATTCTGAATTTCTTCTCCATGTTGTCTTTAAGTTCACTGAGCTTCCTCAGAGTAGTTATTTTGAATTCTGTCTGAAAGGTCACATACACTCATCACTCTGGGATTTGTCACTGGTGCCTTATTTAGTTCACTTGGTAAGATATTTTCCTGGATGTTCTTTTTTTTTCCTTTTTTTTTTTTATTTCAGGCTCCTTTATTCCATGAATATTTACAGAACATCAACTATAGGCAAAACACTGACATAATCAACCTGGATGTTCTTGATGCTTATGGATGTTCATTAATGTCTGGGCACTGAAAAGTTAGGTATTTTAATTGATCACAATCAGTTTCCTTTGTTCCTTCTCCATTCCCGGTGCTTTACTTGACGAGCTATTAAAAAAAAGAAAAAGAAAATTTAGGCATTTATTCTAATCTTGGCAGTCTGGGCTTGTTTGTACATGTCTTTCTTGGGAAGGCTTTCCACATATACAAAGGGAATTGGGTGTTGTGATCTAAGTCTTTAGTCATTGCAGCCATATTAGCACTAGGGGGCTCTACATGACCAGTAACAGTGTGACTCTTGCAGACTCCTGGTAGAACCTTGGTGGGTTTGGGTAGAAATAAAAGAGAATTCCTTGGATTGCCTGGCGAACTCTCTCACTATCTTTCGTCACTTTCCTCCAGACAGGAGGAGTCTCACATTCCATGTTGGGCTGCCTAGAGTTGAGGAAGAGGTGGTGCAAGCACTTCCTCCATAGCTACCATAGCAAAGACTGCAGCTCAGCTAGGTCACACCTGAAGCCAGCCGTCTAATTCAAGGCCCTTAGTGACCACTACCTAGCTACTGCTGGTATTTATTCAAGATACAAGGGCTTTTTAGTGAGTAGGTGGTGAATCCTGCCAGGACTGCATCCTTCCCTTCAGGATGGTGGGTTTCCTTCTGGCCCAGGGTGAGTGAGCCTAGAAATGCTATCCAAGAGTTGAGGCCTGGAATAAGAGGCTTCAGGAATCTACCAGGTATTTTCTTTTACTATGGATAAGCTGCAAGACAAAGCCGTCTGTATTTTTACCTTTCCTTTCCTTTCCTCAAGCTGGAGTCTCTCCCTCAGCTGCACTGCCTGGAAGTGGAGGAGCAGTGATGCAGGCATTCCCTTGGCCACCACAGCTGGTATCCCACTGTGTCACATGAACCCTATGTCCGCTGGCTCTGAGCCCAGTGCGGCACCAGGACTTGCCCAAGGACTGTCCTTGTGGCCTGACTGCCTTTCAAATTTATTATCAGTCTCAGGCCACTTTAGTCAGCCAATGTTGTAGCTGGCTGGAACTCAGGTTCCTATGGCTGGGAAAGAGAATTCCCCTCTGGTCAGACCCATGCTCCCTCTATGGGCTTGGCAGAATCCTACCCTGTATTGTGGCAGCACTGTATTGAGTTCCAGTGAAAATCCCCATAATCACTTTGCTCTCCCTCCCCAAGGCAGGCTGATTCTCTCTACCTGGTGTTGGTGAGCCACTGAGAGGAGATGGGGAGGAGGTTGGAGGAAAAGGATGTAGGCAAAGCAAGACTATCTTTTCTATCCTCTTCAGTGCCTCTTTCCTTGATAGGATGTTAAAACCAGGTACTACAATCACTCACCTGATTTTTGTTTATTATAAACATGATTTCTCGCGTGGATAGTTGTTCAATTTGTTGTTCCTATGAGTAGATGATCACTGGAGGGTTATATTTTGTTACTTTGCCTCTTCTCCAGCTGTATTTCTGTACACTAGCAACTTATAATTTAAAAATGAAACTAAGAAAATAATTGGATTTATTATAGCATCAATACAAATAAAATATTTAGGAATAAACTTAGCAAAAAAAGTATAAGACTTGTAAACTCAAAAACTATAAAACACTATTGAATTTAATTAAAGAAGACCTAAATAAATGGAAAGATATCCTATGTTCATGAACGGAAAGACCTAATATTCTAAAGATTGAATGCTCTTCAGATTGATTTATAGATTCAACACAATCCCAATCAAAATTCTATCTGGCTTCTTTATAAAAATTTACAAGTTCATCCTAAAGTTAGTATGGAAATGCATGGGATCCAAAATATTCAAGGTAATCGAAAAGGAGAACAAGTTTAGAGATGTCGTGCTTCTTGATTTAAAAACTTTCTAGAAAGCTTTTCTACTATGAAACTTTACTTTCATAGTACTTAAATCTGTGTAATGCTATATAAGGATAGACATGTACATCAATGAAACAGAATTGAGAATTCATAAATCATGTCATACATTTGTGGTCAATTATATTTAGTAATGACTTAGTTTTGTTTAGGAATGAAAAATCTCTTCTTTAGCTGCAAGTTATTTTAATTTTATAAATGGTTGGTTATATTATAGGCTCTCTCCTTTTTGCCAGCTAATTCGAAGGGATAATGTTGTTTTTAGAAGAATAGCTTTTGGGATAGAAATATCCTCGTTTTATGATGGGATAAACTGGTAAGGGGTTCAGGGAGTTGGAAATACTGGTCTCTTTCTCAGGACCTGTGAATCTTAGCTCCATTAATAACTACAGTATGTAGAAGGGACTATTCATTAGATGATCTTCTCAACCTGAGGTTCCATCTAGGTCTCATATTCTATGACATTATTTCTAATAATTGACTTGTGACTGAGACTCCAATAATTGTTGGAGACTCCTGGGAGGCCAAGGCAGGTGGATCACTTGAGCTCAGGAATTTGAGACCAGACAGAGCAAGAGCGAGACCCCATCTCTAAAAAAATAGCTGGGCATTTTGGTGAATCCCTATAGTCCCAGCTACTTGGGAAGCTGAGGCAAGAGGATTGCTTGAGCCCAAGAGTTTGAGGTTGCTGTGAGCTATGATGCCATGACACTCTAACAGGGGCAAGAAAGTGAGACTGTCTCAAAAAAAAAGTTGCTCAGTGGTTAGGGTGCTGGCCACATGCACCAGAGCTGGTGGGTTTGAACCTGGCCAGGGCCTGCTAAACAACAATGACCAACAATAACAAGAGAATTGGGCATTGTAGTGGGTGCCTGTAGTCCCAGCTACTTGAGGCTGAGGAAAGAGAATGACTTAAACCCAAGAGTTTGAGGTTGCTGTGAGCTATGACACCACAGCACTCTACCCAGGGCAACAGCTTGAGATTCTGTCTCAAAAAAAAAAAAAGAATTGTTGGAGACTTTACATCTTTTATGTTTACCTGGATGGAGTTGAAACACATTCTTCTTAATAAAGTATCTCAAGAATGGAAAAAATATCCAAGGTACTCAATACTAGTATAAAACCAACATATAAGCATATAAACAATTACACGCCCATACAAATGATAAAGCACAAATATAGTCTAGCAAGTGTAAGGGGTAGAAAGGAGAGGGGAGGGGGATGGCAGGAGGAAGGAGGGCAATTGGTGGGATCTCAACTAATGTGCACAATGCAAGGGTATTCAGCTTGCCCTCTGGGTGAAGGGCTCTTCTACAATTTGAACTTTACCTTGGAAGTGTGAACAATGTAACCTAAAACTTTGTACCCTCATATTAATTTGAAATTTTAAACAATTGGCCATAGAGAAATAAGCTAAAGGGGAAAAACCACTACCCGTCTATATACAGACATGGCCTCTAGAGCTATCAGTTCTTGACTGTAATGGGAGAAGTAATGGGATATGAAAGCAGCTCACTGTATTGTATTTAGCCTTCTTATCAAGGATGTCTTGAAAGACTCCTTAGTTGCAATAAAGTTTTATTTTAGATAGCTGAACAGCAATGAAGATCTGACTTTTTTCTTGTCAGGACCGTAAGAGGCAATATGAGCTGCTCAAACTTGAAAGAAACTTCCAGAAACAATCCAATGTGCTCAGACGTAAAACTGAGGAGGTAAGAAAATTCAATCTGCTATGTCAGCTGTATTGCCCATCTTCAGGCTCAGATACTGGCAAAGTAATATCCCTTAAATGAGCAAGGGTAAGAAACCAGGGATGCCAATCTTGACCAGCAAGCTAGGTATGACAGCTCATGTCTATAATCCCAGCACTTTGGGAGGCCAAGGAAGGAGGATCATTTGAAGCCAGGAATTAGTGACCAGCCAAGGTAGCATAGCAAGACTACTGTCTTTACAAAAAAGACACGTACCTATAGTGGCACATACCTATAGTCTTATTCTAACAACTTGGGAGGCTAAGGTGGGAAAATCACTTGAACCTATGAGTTCAAGGGTACCATGAACTATGATGGTGCCTCTGAATTCTAGCTGGGTGACAGAGGGAGACCCTGTCTCTAAAATAAAAAAAATTCACTATGTGCCATTTTTATTTAGGCTGCAGCCGCCAACAAGCGTCTCAAGGATGCTCTTCAAAAACAACGAGAGGTAGCTGATAAGCGGAAAGAGACTCAGAGCCGTGGAATGGAAGGCACTACAGCTCGAGTGAAGGTATGGACAACTTGAACTGCCATTTCTTTTCTTTTTCTTTCCTTTTTTTTTTTTTTTTTTTGAGGCAGAGTCTCACTATGTTGCCCTGGGTAGAGTGCTGTGCCATCACAGCTCACAACAACCTCAAACTCTTGGGCTTAAGTGATTCTTTTGCCTCAGCCTCCCAAGTAGTTGGGACTGCGGGCGCCTGCCACAATGCCTGGCTAGTTTTCTGTTGTAGTTGTCATTGTTGTTTGGCAGGCCTTGGCCAGGTTCGAACGCTGAGCCCCTGTGTATGTGGCCGGCACCCTTGCTGCTGAGCTACAGATGCCGAGCCTTGAACTGCCATTTCTCTTGTGTACACTGGGAATAGTAAAAAGTGGGAAGTGGCTGGGTTTTGGTTTAGAAATAAACACTACAAAATCTAAAATTCTACCTGAAAGGCTTATTTCCTAAAAGATATGAATGTCTTTGAACTATTGTTAAAGATCAAGAGTATAGAATCCCTTCTAGTCTTGCCCTAGTTACTTTCTTTAAAACAGCTTTATTGAAGTATAATTCACATATAATAAATTATACATCATAAATCTGATGAATTTAGACACATGTATGGGCCCATGAAATCAGCACAAATCATCACCACAATCAAGATAATGGCAATTTCCATTGTTGCCAAAATGTTCTTTGTATCCATTGGTAATCTCTCCCTCCCCTCCTTGACCTACTCCTCTACTCCCCATTCTGGGTGGTTCTAGGTGGCAACCATTAACCTTCTTTTTGTCACTGTATCTGTTTTTATTTTTTAGAATTTTATAAAAATAGAATCATTCAGTATAATTTTTTCTGGCTTTTATTCAGCATAATTATTTTGAGACTCATTCATGTGGTTGCATATATCATAATTTCTTTTTATTGCTAAGCAGTATCCCATTCATTATGTGGCTATACCATAATTTGTTGACACATTCACCTATTTATGGACATTTGGGTTGTTTGCATTTTGGGGCTATTACAAATATTATACTAAATGTTTATATACAAGTCTTTGTGTGGACATACATTTTTATTTCTTTTGGGTAGATAGCTTAGGAGTGGAATGGTTTTCTCAAATGGTAGGTGTATGTTTTAACTTTTAAGCAACTGCCCACTCTGGGAGGCCAAAGTGGGTGAATTGCCTGAGTTCACAGGTTTAAGACCAGCCTGAGCAAGTGCAAGAACTTGTCTCTAAAAAAAAAAAAAAAAATAGCCGGGTATTTTGGTGGGTGCCAGTAGTCCTAACTACTTGGGAGGCTGACACAAGAGAATCGCTTGAGCCCAGGAGTTTCAAGTTGCTGTGAGCTATGACACCACAGCACTCTTAAGACCGAGGGCAACAAAGTAAGACTCTGTCTCAAAAAAAAAAAAGTTTTTAAGCAACTGCCAAACTGTTTTCCAAAGTGGTTATACCATTTTACATTTCTACTTGCAATATATAAGGGTTCTAGTTGCTGCATATTCTCGCCAATATTTAACATAGTCAGTCTTTTAAATTTTAACTATTCTGAGTTGACAACTAGTGACATATGTATGTTTTGTTTCTGTGATGTATCTATTCAAATCTTTCCCTCTCTTTTTTGTATCCTTTTCTTATTAATACTTTCTCCTTTTTAAATTTCTTTTTTTTTTTTTTTGAGACAGAGCCTCAAGCTGTCCCCCTGGGTAGAGTGCCATGGCATCACAGCTCACAGCAACCTCCAACTCCTGGGCTCAGGCGAGTCTTTTGCTTCAGCCTCCCAAGTAGCTGGGACTACAGGCACCCGCCACAACGCCTGGCTGTTTTTTTGGTTGCAGCCATTATTGTTGTTTGGCAGGTCCGGGCTGGATTCGAACCTGCCACCTTAGGTGTATGTGGCTGGTGCCTTAGCCACGTGAGCCACAGGTGCTGAGCCTTAAATTTCAAATATTAAGGATCAGCTATGGTGGCTCACACCTACAATTCTAGCACTCTGGGTGGCCGAGATGAAAGGATTGCTTGAAGTTAGGAGTTTGAGATCAGGCTGAGAAAGAGTGAGACCCTCTCTCTACTAAAAATAAAAAGAGATTAGCTGGGCGTGGTTGTACATATCTGTAGTTCCAGCTACTCAGGAGGCTGAGGTCAGAGCATTGATTAAGCCTAGGAGTTGGAAGTTGCAGTGAGCTATGAGGAGGCCACTATAATAAGCTATGGCAACAGAGCAAAACTGTCTCAAAAAATATATATTAAGGGGGAACAAAATTTTTCGTACATGGGTACTTCATGTAATGTTTAAATCAAGGAGTTTGGTGTGTTCTTCACTGGAATAGTGTTCACTGTACCCATCTTTTAATTGAGTTATTTGAGGTTTTTTTCTTATTAGAATTAGAATTCCCTTTTTTTTTTTTTTTCTCTAAGACAGAGCCTCAAGCTGTTGCTCTGGGTAGAGTGCCCTGGCATCATAGCTCACAGCAACGTCCAACTCCTGGCCTTAGTGATTCTCTTGCCTCAGCCTCCCAAGTAGCTGAGACTAGAGGTGCCCGCCACAACACCTGGATATTTTTTGGTTGCCGTTGTCATTGTTGTTTGTCAGGCCCAGGCTGGGATTCAAACCCAGCAGCTCTAGTGTATGTAGCTGGCACCTTAGCTGCTTGAGCTGCAAGCACCAAGCCTCTTATTAGAATTCTTCATATATTCTAGGTACATCCAACAGAGGATTTCTGTTTTACCAATATTTTCAACTGGGCTATGACTTACCTTTTCATTTCTTAATAGTTTCTTTTGAAGAACAAAGCTTTATTATTTTATTAACTAAATTCTGCCAAACTAATGGTCACTAACATGTCCTACGTTTTCTTCTAAAAGTTGTGTATTTTTAAACTTTATATTTAGGTCTGTAATTTATTTTGACTTGATACCTTTATCAAAATGACCATACATCTATTTCCAGATTCTATTTTATTGATCTACCTGTCTATTTTTATGTCAATGCCAAAATGTCTTCAATATAATTGCTTTATAAGAAGTCCTGAAATCAGGTAGTATATGTAGTAAATGCTCCAATGCACTTCTTTTTCAAAATTGTTTTGGGAAAACTAGATCTTTTTGCATTTTCATACAAATTTTAGAATCAGCTTGTCAATTTCTGCAAAAAACCTTTCTGGGATTTTGATTAGGATTATGTACAATTTATAGATCAATTGGAGGAATATTAACATCTTAAGAATACTGAGTCTTTACAGCTATGAATATAGTACATCGCTGCACTTATTTAGGTTTTTTATTTCTCTCCACAATGTTTTAGTTTTTAGTGTACAAGTGTTGCATATCTTATGTCAAATATGTCCCTAAATATTTCATATTTTTATGATGTTGGAAATGGAATTTTTTCTTTTTTTTCAGATTAATTAAAGGGTATATATGATTAGGTTATGTTGTTTGCATTGGCTAGGAAAAGTCTGAATGGTATTTGAGTCCTTCACCCATGTGGTATGCCATATATCCCTACATTGTATCTGTTAGGTAGGGGCTTACTGAGCCCCTTCCACCTCTTCCCACCCGTATTCTTGAATTTAATTGTTTTTCCTCTTATGTGGGCCTGTAGCTATTCATCAAAACTCAGTAAAGTATCTCAAGAATGGAAAAACAAGTATCTCACATACTCAATGTTAATGTGAAATTAGTAGATGAACAACTACAAGTATTTTTTATTTCCATTTCCAATTGTTTGGATGCACTTGTTATTTCTCATAGCTTTTATTTAGAGTCCTTAGTATTTTCGATTTAGACAATCATGTCATCTGAAAATAGGGATAATTTTTTATCTTCTTTTCTGCTTTGTGCTTCTTTTCACCCTTTGTCTTATCTTATGGCACTGGCTAGTATCTGCTAGAACCAGTACAGTATTAAAAAGAGTAGGTGAGAAAATACATACTTGCTTTGTTCTCAGTCTTAGAACACATTCAATGTTTCACCATAAAGTATGGTATTTGCTATGAATTTTTTGTATATATCCTTTATAAGGTTAAAGCAATTCCTATTTATTCCTAGTTTGCTAAAGTTTTTGTTATTAATTGATGTTGGGTTTCTTAAGAAACTTCTAGCCCAGCGCCTGTGGCTCAAGTGGCTAAGGCGCCAGCCACATACACCTAAGGTGGCCTAAGGTGGCGGGCTCAAATCCAGCCCGGGCCCACCAAACAACAATGACGGCTGCAACCAAAAAAATAGCTGGGCGTTGTGGTGGGCACCTATGGTCCCAGCTACTTGGGAGGCTGAAGCAGGAGACTCGCTTGAGCCCTGGAGTTGGAGGTTGCTGTTGAGCTGTGATACCATGGCACTCTACCCAGGAAGACAGCTTGAGGCTCTGTCTCAAAAAAAAGAGAAACTTCTTTTTTTCTCTTAAGATAATCTTGGCTCAGCGCCTATAGCTCAACCAGCTAAGGCGCCAGCCACGTACACCTAAGGTGGCGGGTTCGAATCCCCAGCCTGGACCCGCCAAACAACAATGATAGCTGCAACCAAAAAATAGACGGGCGTTGTGGCGGGCGCCTGTGGTCCCAGCTACTTGGGAGGCGGAGGCAGGAGACTCGCTTGAGCCCAGGAGTTGGAGGTTGCTGTGAGCTGTAATGCCACGGCACTCTGCCCAGGGGGACAGCTTGAGGCTCTGTCTCAAAAAAAAAAAAAAAAGATAATCTTATAGCTGGGTGTGGTGGCTCATGCCTGTAACCCCAGCACTTTGGGAGGCTGAAGTGGGTAGATTGCCTAAGCTCAGGAGTTCGAGACCAGCCTGAGCAAGAGCAAGACCCCATCTGTAAAAATAGCCAGACATTATGGGCTCCTGTAGTCCCAGCTACTCGGGAGGCTGAGGCAAGACAATCACTTGAATTCAAGAGTTTGAGGTTGCTGTGAACTGTGACGCTACGTCACTCTACTATCTATAGTGAGACTGTGTCTCAAAAAAAAAAATGATGATTTTATAGTTGGTTGGCTTATTTGTTTTTAGTCTATTGGTGTGGCAAATGATGTTGAT